TGTGCCTAGTTTTACTCACCAGCTCATTCAATGCAAGTTATACACTGTCCATGCATCACCATCCAACAAAATTACGAGTAAATTTCATGTTTTTCTTTCATTTTCCCAGCATACAAACAGACCCATATACAAATTCCACAAAACCCATCACCAAAAACCATTGACTACCAAGAAATGACTTCAAAATCTTATTTTCTATAAATCAAAACAGCATAAGACAACAGATTACTCCAAAAATTAACCCCATTTCTCTTACTTTTCCCAATACCTAAAGAGACCCAAATAAGTAAAATTTGAACAACCAATCACCAAAAACACAGAGGCAAACAAAACCCAAACACAAATACCCCACAAAATTATACCTGAGCTGAAATTTCTTCAGCGGCAAACTGTTTCCCAATAGCAGGGCAATCAAGCTTAACATTCCCATTTTCATCCCTAACAACTTTGTACGACACCTGCTTAGACTCCTCGTCCACCTCAGACATCTTCCTCCCAATGAACCTCTTCACCGAGAAGAAGGTGTTCTCCGGGTTCACAACGGCTTGTCGTTTGGCAATCTGCCCCACAAGCCTATCCCCGTTCTTCGTATACGCCACCACGGACGGCGTCGTCCTCTGACCCTCAGCGTTGGTCACTATGGTGGGCTTCCCACCCTCCATAGCCCCAACAGCTGAGTTAGTCGTCCCCAAATCGATACCCACAACTTTCTCGTTGACTATGCGGAGCGGCCCCACCCTTCGAACGCCACTGGATCTCAGGCTCATAAAACCCTTCAACGGCGTCGTTTGGCCGAGCCTCTGGCCCAAAAACACCGTCCTCGGGGTTGTGAAATTGGGCCTCTTGAATGAAGAGCCAGGCGCAGTGCCGAGGACGTTGATTTGAGCAGTGGAGGAAGCCATTGCTGAAAGGTTTTTGAGGTGAATTAGGGTTTTTACAATCTGTATAGAAACCCTAAAACTACCCTAGAAATTGGGAGGAGGCGAAGATAGAGGGCAGAGAGATAGAGAGAGAGAGAGAGTTGGGTGGGCGCTTAGCTTTGAGACTGGTAGAGCGGCGAAATGTTAAGTGTGAGGGGATAAGAGGGGAAGAGAAGAGACGAAAAGAAAACGGTAGAACTTTCTTGTTATCGCCTTTTTTAATCTGTCCGTTTGCTTTTATTGGGCCTTAGCTTTCACTCTTTGGGCCCATTTCTTTTGTTATTGGGCCTGTCTGGCACATTCAATAAATGAGGGTTAGGTGGTGCCACGTGGGAGGTTGGTCTAAGGGCTCAGAGAGCTTTTGCTTTTTTACAAACTTTTGTGATTCTATTTGATTCCGTCAATTTACTTTTAAGCTACTAACTGACATTTTTTCAGGATGTGCTAACGGGTCGGCCACGCGGCTTAGCGAGGGCCTTTGATTTTAAGAAAACCCTTGACTCCAATTTGCGCCGGCCTAAAGTAATTTTTTCATAAATTAAAGAGAGTTGTCCCTAAAGTTCTGAAAAAATAAAATAAAAGAGTTGAGCAATACTATATATCATACATAAGAGCAAGTCCACCGCAAGGACTTTTGCCTTGACAAGATAGGGCCTAGGCCCCCCGAACGGCTTCAGCGCGCAAGGCCAAGTCTGGGCAAGGCGTGGGACCCATCAACCTAGGCAAGTTTAGCCCGTGCTGCTGCCTGCTAACGTCAACAACCAATTTAAATAACAAAAAAATTGAAAAAAAAAATTCAGAATTTTTTTTCATAATAAATACCTAGCCATATTCTTTACTTCCCACACCAAAATTCTATATAAATTCATCTTCTCATATCTCAAGTGAATAGTAATTGACCTTGCCCTAGCCCATAGGGGTGGAAGTGCTCTAAAGGGATTTCTAACTCAAGTAGTTAACAGTATTTACTCATGTATCCGTCTTCTTCCCTTGATATCATTTGGTTAGGTTTGATTATATTATTTTTTTAATATATGATCCGAACTGAAAATATTGAATAAAGAACCGGGTAGCATTTAGATAACCCGAGAAAACTCGTACCGAACTGATATTTAAAATTAATTTATTACACATGACAAAATATTAGTGGATCGCATAACACTACAAAATATTAATGGATTGTTGCATTATTTGTTGTTTAATTGTTATTTTTATGTTGGTTTGTAACTTTAAAACTAATTCATTTGATTTTTTAATTAGATGAATTGGACTATTGGTTTTTATCATTTCTTACTTGGATATGAAGCTAAATCTTGGGCTCGAACGTAGGCTATTTAAAGATCGAACACAAATCCTACTACATGGAATTTATTGTGAAATTTTTGCAGGTTCATAGCCTCATAAATGCGATTCCAATGGTGGTCTAGGGCTGGGGCAAGGGGGGCCCAAGAAGAAAAAGGCGTTCCAACGGGCCTTTTTTGCCCTCGATGGGTGTGGGTCCCACGAAACCGAGCTGGCCGGCGCCAATGGTAGAATAAAATTAAACTTCCGTGCGCAGACGTCAGCCCTTCCTTTCCCCCAACGACTAGCAGACACATGGCGGCCTCTGGGCTCCGATCGGTTTTTCTCCTCCAATCCAATGGCTGCCAAAAAAATTCGAAATTTTTGGTCACTAAGGAAAGAAGCCACCAAAAGACACAAAGCCTAAAAGAATTAAAGGTATAGCCGCGCGGCTATACTTGTTTTGACATGTGGGAGCCTAGGCGCTAGACGGGTCTCTTTTTCTCTATAAATACTATAGCCGCGCAGCTCTACTATGGAGTTTTTTTATAAAAAAAAATAGTATAGCCGCCCGGCTATACCTGTTTTGACACGTGGTCGCCCAGGCGCTAGGCGGGTCCTTTTTTTTTTCTTTCTATAAATCGCAACGCCGAGCAGCTATACTCTCGGATTTTTTCCAAAATAGTATAGCTGTGCGGCGTTACTATGGTATTTGTTTATTAAAAAAATAGTATAGCCACTTGGCTAGGCGGGTCCCCTTTTTTTCTATAAATATTCTATTTGTTGTTTAATTAAATTATTAGAATAATATTGATTGATGTTCCTCAAACAAGTTTCACTCTAGAGAATGAGCTAGATCAAAAGCAAATATACCCACAAAAAACGAACAAGAAAAAATTGAACTCTCAAATTGATTTACTCTGAAATTTCTCTCTCTTCAATATCTGCACTGGATATGTTGAAACTAACTAATTAATATTAATAAAGTATAAACTAACGCAACTAGGAGGGTACTTTTGTTATTATTATTTTTTAAATAAAAGGTATATAATATATTTAAAATACATACGTACGTGTACAATACGAGTATTAAAAGTGAAAATGCTAAATTCTTTATGTGGGTAATAACTCTGAAAAAGTAAAAACTCAAAAGGGGATAATAAAGACTTGGGTAATGGCCTAATACTAATGGATAATGCTCTAAACTATCAATAAACAAAAATCGTGGAAAAACAAGAGGACCTAGCATGAGAGCCATGTTGTTTCTTCAATCATAATTACACAATAGCAATTACTTTTGTCCTAGCAAAGAGAATTAACCATGTTTGGTCGTCAAGAAACACTTGCTCCTAGAAGAAGAAGAATGACAATAGGGCAGAGACTAAGAAGCATCCATGCCCTCATCTTGTTATCCTTCCTTGGGATGACCTTTGTAGCAATGTTGTGTTTAATTTTCGGATTAGTTCATTCTATGATTTTTACCTAATGGATGGTGAGCAAAAGTATGTCTAGGTCCTCTACCTTTTTGTATTGTTACTCAATAGAGAGTTTATTTGGTATTCGATAATAAAGTCCCATGTTGAAAATTCAGGGCTTAGGGTTTAGATATCTCCTCTCTTTGATTTTGGAGGCTGGTATTTCTTCCTTGTGGTTGGTTCGGCTTTTGCATCAGCCGGTGTAATTTTACTTTCAATTTTTAGTTTTGGTTAGTTTTAATTGTTGCTTTATAGGTCCTGATTTGGTTATATTCTCCAAATTTTGTTATCACTCTGTTGTTATGCCAATGTAAAAACTTTATTAGAATATGAAATTACTTGGTTTCAAATACACAATTTTGTTCTTGCCGGCTGCTAGTTTCGCACAGTGAAATGCAGGTTTAAAAACAGTTCCGCAATCGGTATTCTGATCATTCCAAACGTTAGGGTTGAGTTTTTTAAAGTCAGAAAATACGTTTGGTAGTGAAATACTGATGTTGAATTTTAAAAAAAATTGAAAGAAACTGTTTGGTTTGAAGGAAAAAGAAAACCTATTCAGCAGCTCCAAATGCTATACGAACAAAACAAATACAACAAAAAGACAGCGGAAGACAATCGTTCTGAGTTCTCTGAGGCTCCAAAAAATACAACAACTGTTTCTCAATTCAATAACTTCATAGTTTGAAAACTTTGAAAACCAAATCGCCTTCGATGTTTTCAGAAAGTACAAAAGAAAATTGAAGAGGATATAAAATTATATTTGTAAAGTATCAAACTTAATGAATATATAAATCAAAGATATTCAAACAAAAATACGCCTGACATTGTCATGGAACAAAATTGACAAACTAAACTAATAATAATTCCAGTTACGAATGACAAAAATAGTCTACCAGACAAAACCCACACATCATAACATTCTCTCTTGCTACACCAATTTTCCTCCTCATCCCCAACTCAACGAAACAAAAGACATTGGTAAACCAAAAAAAAGCAAAATAGACTATGAAAACGTCTTTAGAATTTTAAAGAAATAAATTACTGGGATACTCCAAGCCACTTTGTGAAGTTGTCAAACTCTGTGTAGTCGCTGTCTGAGATCATCGTTTGGTACCATGCCTTACCAGCTGCCTTGATGGTTGAAGCTTCCTCCTGGATAAAGAGAAATAGACAACAAAGAAATACATTATTACACAAGCCCCGATCACATAAAACAGTCTAAAAGATTAAGAACAGTAGTAATGAATTCAACTGATTTCACTTGTTTATTAGAGTGGATAAGGGTGGTATCAATGGCCAGCTGATACGAGGCTTCCTCTATTCCCAAAGGATGGTTCTTATAGCCAAATCCAGGGAGAAGCTTGGGACTCACTAGCATTTTCTTATGGTTATTTGACTTCAAGCATTGCTCATCAAGATCCTGGACACTTTTGTACAACTGACCAATGCATCCTTTCATAGAGTTATCCTGCATCTGTTTCACAATAAACCCGAGTGGAAGAGTCAAGAAACTGAAGAGTAAATTAACAAACTCCTCCCCTGCTTCTGCATAACAAACCATCTTCCTAGATTTGCTAACTATGAGCTTAATAGAAATCTTTTCTTCTTACTCATTCGTGGCGTCTCCTAACATTCGAGATTCAACATCTATTTCTTGATCAACATTTTCATTGCTCAATTCTAGGAGGGGTTCATGCTTCAGCAGAGTTTCAGTCAAAGGCATCTTTGATACTAATGAGCACACAAGCAACTTCAAAACCTGAAGAAAGTGAAAAGATCATCAGAAACTAGCATTTCATTTCTTACTATAAAATTAACTTTGGTGGTATAACAGATCATTTACCTCATCAACTCCTACATTGACTGTCAACTCCTCAATACTATTCCATCCCGTGAATCCGAGGTTCTTAACTAAAGAAAAGCTTGTAGAAGTAAATGGGGGCATCACTTGTAAATCATCACTAATTATAAATCTGGCTGGACCTTTTACAAAGACCTCACCATCTTCAGCACCAGACACTGGAAGGGTGGTCTCCGTGTCCATTAGACGCTTGCAACGATGACAACGAACCGTTTGGTAATAACTAAAAACAAGACTGTTCCGAAAATTTCTGCAGTGTGGATTAGAACACGTAAAGTACCGCGTGGGTACCGCAATCATCAAATTTCAGTTTGATGTTGTCCAAGAGATATTCTGTCCTATTGCGGAGACCTAACAGCATGGCTCTACATTCTTCAGTTCGGAAAAGCTGTGAGTCAAAACTCTCCACACTTCCATATATGTTGTCCATGCAACCAATTCCCAAGGGAGTTAGGCGGCGCCTAGGCGGGTCTAGGCGGGTGGCGGCCCTGGGCGGGTCTAGGCGGGTCTTGGCTGACGAAGGGCGGTTGAAGCGCGCTAGAGCCGCCTCTTGTTAGGAAGAAAGACGAAGAGAGAGAGAGAGACAGAGACAGAGAGATGAAATCGAAACAGAGAGAGGAAGGAGAAGGCGACGCTGGGAAGAAGAAGATATTTGACCTAATTTTTAATATAACTAACGTGTTGGGTTTTGTAATGGCCTTAAACATTGTATTAAAATGGGCCTATTTTTACTTTTTTTTGCAGTTTTTTTAAAATATCAAGGTTACTAAAAATACAAAAATAAAAATCATATAATATCAAGGTTGGAAAATATTAAAGTTTTATATATCTTATTATTTTGCATGATTTTGGTATAATTTATAATTTATAATACAAAATAATTATTAAAAAAAAAAAAACGGGTGCTTAGGCCCCGATTACACCTCTAGCCTCCTGCCCCATGCCTGCCACCCACCTATTGCCTATGGATTTTTCGAACATATATTAAAGAAAGGCAAGCATATATATGAAAATGGTGTACCATAAAATACAAATGGGACATATAAAAATATTTTATTTTTATGAAATATTTTCATATTTCTTATGTGTATTGGATGGTACACCACAGAGTAGGGGCGGAGCTATAACAAGGCCTGTCATGGCATGGGTCCCCATTCAATTTTCAATCTATTGTAATATATTATAAAATATATGATATAGATATACAAATATTGCAATTAGATTTGTGTTGATCCACTCAGTTGAAAATGAAAAACCTATGTGGAAGTGACTTTGAAATTTTGACCCCTCCATGCTATGAATCCTAGCTCCACCACTGCCAGACAATTGGTGTACCTGAACATAAAAATATTTCTCCTCCCCCTCCCCCTTTCTAAATATGATAAAAATAAATAAATAATAAATAACTACGAAGAAATCTATGGCCCCACTATGACATGAAGATTCTCATTGCTGGAATTAAATATAGAACTATGACCCTTTTTTTTTATTCGATCGATATTCTATTCTAATGGGAGGGGGCACCCACAATGGGATTCAAATTGATGCCATGGAGTTTGTTGAATTATGACTTCTTTTTTTTTTATTATTCCATTGATATTCTATTCAAAGGGGAGGGGGAGAGGGAACTCTATTCTAAGGGGAGGGCGCACCTACAATGGGATTCGAATTGATGTCATGGGGATTGCAAACATAGACCTCAACCACTGAGGTAAACACCCACTGGCAAATATAGAATTATGACTTTAAATTTCACATAATGAGGTGTCAATACAATCTCCAAAGGACAATTTTTTTTTTCTGAAAAAAATCCAAAGGAGACTTTTTTTTTTTTTTTTGAGTTACAACGATATGCTAATTCTATGGGGGAGGAGGATGTGGTGATGCTCGAACCCCACTCGAACCCAAGACCTCCTGGGGGGTAAGGGTAGTTCCCAACCAACTGGGCTAACACCTTACAGGCCTAGAGCCCTTGGCTTCTACTGTTAAAAAGATCTTGGTCTGTGGTGTGCTGTGTATGGTATTTGGAAAGAGATTTCATCCCCATACATTTCATCCTTAAAGAACTCATAGTTTTTTACAACTTCACTCCTTTCCTTTTTTTTCTGTAGAAGAAAAACAAAGCCTGCATTATTATTACATACAGCAGGTCATTCAAGAAACAAACGTTCACTAAATATTCTGCATAAAGAAATCTCTACTAGCAATTGAACCCATGACTATGAGTCTGCTACAAGTATTAGTATGCAAGCATTAGCATTATCCATAAGGAAGTGCAAACACAGTGTCATCCATACTGGAGTTCCAGTTTGTATAAAGGAGAAGCATCATCATCATTTAATGGATAAGCAAGCTCTCTTTATAGACTTCTCTTGATTCAGCTGGCTAATGAAGACATCGGTTAGAGCAGAGTCGCTAAGAAAAGTAGCCACCAAAAGATGCAACGCCTACGACAAGTAACAACACGAGAATCATCAACAATTAAAAAGGGAGAGGGTTTCAGTGAAAAGGGCAACATGAAAATTGTAAACAATTAATTCACCTCCTTCTTGCCAACCTCAACAGTTTCCTCCTTTATGTCAGTGAAAGGTACCTTCAATTCATTTATAATCGAAAAGCAAAAGAAAGGAGATGCAGGCCATATGATCAGCTTGTTAGTTACCATGAACGCCGTTGATTCTTTCAAATACCCTTGAGTACTTTTATCATGCTTCAATTTGAGTGGAAGTGTCAGGGCGTTAGAAGCTACGGGTTTTTATCAGTAGCCAATATATAATGCCAACATCCATCCACCGGCCAATGTGCATAATAATATGAGGCCACAGGGCCATCCTCAATTCCAAAAAGACGGTTCTAGTAGCAAAAACCAGGATAAATCTTAGGACTCAGTAGAATTTCCCTGTGGTAATTTGACTTCAAGTGCTGCTCATCAAGATCTTTGACACATTTGTGCAACTCATCAATGCACCCTTTGAAAGAGGCATCCCACATATGCTTTAATATGAAACCAAGTGGAACAGCTAAAAAACTGAAGAGCAAATTAACAAAATCCTGCCCTGCTTCTGCATCACAAACAATATTCTTCGATACGCTAATTGTAAGCTTAACAACAATCTTTTCTTCTTCCTCCGCATCCATCATGTCTCCAAGCAGTAGAGATTCAATACGTGTCAATATTAGTTTATCCAGATTTAAAAGGCTCAAATTCGGATTTGGTACAGGATTATGCTTCAGTATAGTTTCAGACAGAGGTTTCTTTGATACTAATGAGCGCATAAGCAAGTTGAAAACCTAGAAAAAAGACCATGAGGTCAGAAACCACAAACACTACAGTTGTATGAAAAGAAAAATAAAACAATTGGCAAACAGCATTCATTTACCTCATGAGCTCCTATTTTCAAATTCTGTTGTTCAGTTGTGCTATTCTCATTCATGGCTCCAAGCTTTGTAAATACAGGATTGCTTGCCACCGATAACGGGGACATCACACATAAATCATCAGTAATTATGAACCTAGCTGATTCTTTTACAAAGATGCCCCCACCTTGCTCAGCAGAGGATGAAACTGAAAGTGACGACTTCAAATTCATGCATCTTCCACATTTACAAAGAACACCTTTGTAATGACTTATTGACTTCATTTCGAAGTTGCATTGCCAACTATCACACACAAAGTACCTCGTCGGCCCATCGTTGTCAATTTTCAGTTTGAGGTTTTTGCAATGAGATTCAGCCCCATTGTGGGGACATAGCAACATCTCTTTACATGCTTCAGTCTGGAAATGCCGAACATCGATATTCACAGCACTGGCATACAAATTGCTCGTGCAACCTATTTCCAGCGGTACTGAATGTTTACGGGCTCGGCTAACAATTGTTCCCATTGGTATTGTCAAGAAACTCAAGAGAACATCAATAAAATCGTTATCAGACTCTACGAAGATAATTGTGTTGCTTCCATTGTCCACCAAGGCATTCAAGCTTGTAACATTCTTCACAGTTTTACCAGCCATTGATACCGTAAGAAAGTACAAATTTGGCTTTTTTATCCTGTCCGTGTACAAACTCAGTTGTTTCCCTACTTAAACATGAAAGGACTTCAACAAATCAACTACGGCAAAAGAGAGAAAATTTTACAGCATTAATAGCTTGTAAAACAGGGCAGAGCTTGAGCAGATAACAATTACATGAAAAAGGCGACCAATATTTTTATGAAGAGGAATATTTGGGGAAAAATTCATCAAATATAATCACTCTTTCTCAATAAATTTGCAGATCGGTTTCTTTTGTGAAGTGAAATTATTGTCATGCTTTTACATTCTTTTCTTGATCTAATCCATCTTCTCTAATTAAAGTGAAATTAATTTTTGTACGCATGGTGCATGGTTTCATCACATTAACTAGTAGGAAAAAAAAAAGGCAGCATTAACGTATTGATCTACAGGTTCTGCTGTGCAGCAGTGGCGGTCCTACGCCAATGGCAGAGTAGGCGGCCGCCTTCTCCAGTTTTTCCCAAACCCATATACAATCATGTGGAGCCCACTTCAGAAGTACACTGCCGCCTACTCTATTATTAAGATATATGATTTATACCCCACTTCAAAAGTACAATCATGTGGCTCATAGACTAAACAAGTGGGAAAGAAAAAATAAAGAGAAGACAAACATACCCCCAAGGTTTATACCTATTATTATTATGTATGACCTTTTGACATAAATTGTTAAAAATTTATCCTTTTTTTCTCTTTTCTTGGCACAGACATGTATCACACTTTTTTACTGCTTCTAAGTTTTTCTCTCAAACTCCATATCAAATTTAATTAGTTTAATTTATTTAATTACTTTTTGTTAATCTTCTCCTGTTTTCTCTCTACTTATGGTTTTTTTAAGTTTGTGAAATTTTGATTTCTTCTTTCTATTGATTTTATTGGGCTTTTAGAGATATTTGCTAAATCGATATTCAACTCTAAGTATGTACTTGTCTATTTCTTATAATTTTTCTTGCTTAGTATGTAATTGTATGTCCCTTTGTTGCAATTGTGAACTTGTGAACTTGTGTTGGTGAATTTTAATTTTATTGGGTTTTTGTATGTCTTGTGAGAATTTGAATTTTTATTGTTTATATGTTGTGAGAAGCCCCCACACATATGAAAACTTTGTTTCGCCAATGTGTATAGAGATGCGTATTTGAGGGTAAGGCTTAGTGTGTCACTCATGCCTAATTCGGTGTGTATTTTTATGTGTATTAATGAAATTCACTAGTACCGTCAAGTTTTTAACATAAGCTTTGCCCACTTGACTGTTGAATCCTGGATCAGCCACTGCGTTGCAGGAAATGAAAAGTCATCCCCCATGTTCAATTTTAAAGGTGGCTCTGGTTTTTTTTTTCTTTATACAAAAGTGGTTGGCGAAAGACCGTATGCATCATTCAAACCGGCCAAACCAAACCACATTTGTTTTGGACAAAAAACCAAACCACTTAGCAGTTTTGTTTGGTTTTTACACTAAAAAATTGTAATCTAAAATAGGTTTGAAAAATCAGCCTAAGCGGCACCTAGGCACTAGGTGGAGGACACCGCCCCAATTTCACCCTAATCATTAGGGGTAGGCGCCAGGGAGTTAGGCGGCGCCTGGGCATCCACCTAGGCGACCTAGGCGGGTCTAGGAGGGTCTAGGTGGGGGTTTAGCCGTTGATGCTCGGACGAAGGGCGGTTGAAGCGGGCAAGCGCCACTGCTTGTTAGGAAGAAAGACAGAGAGAGACAAAGATTGAGACAGAGAGATGAAATCGAAACAGAGAGAGGGAGGACAAGGCGACGCTGGGAAGAAGAAGATATCTGACTTAATTTTTAATATAACTAACGGGTTGGGTTTTGTAAAATGGCCTTAAACATTGTATTAAAATGGGCCTATTTTTACTTTTTTTTTGCAGTTTTTTTAAAATATCAAGATTACTGAAAATACAAAAATAAAAGTCAGATAATATTAAGGTTAGAAAATATTAAAGTTTTCTTTTATATATCTTCTTATTTTGCATGATTTTGGTATAAATTTATAATTTATAATACAAAATAATAATTTTAAAAAATTGTGCCTATGCCCCGATTACTCCTCTAGGCTCTAGGCTCTTGGCTTTAGGCCCATGCCTCTGCAACCCACCTACCACCTACGGATTTTTTGAACATATATTAAAAAAAGACAAGCATATATATGAAAATGGTCCTTTTCCAAATAAAGCCCACACCCTTAAGACACCTGAACGCAGAATTGAATGCCTAATCGTGATTCCTAGTTGGGATGAGTTATGAGAAAGATGGAACTTTATGAAAGGAAAAAAAAAGAATATGATGTCTAAAAACAGTAATGGCACAAAGAGTAAACCATTAAACCCCATATCAATATTTTTGCATATAATCAGTCAAAACAACTCAACATCATAAGTACATTTACAAAAAAAAAAAAAAAAAAAAAAAAAAAACATGGAATTTGAAGTTCAAACCTTTTCGGGTAAAACTGCCGAAGTAACGGATGAAGCTAATGAAAACACAAAGACTTAAACAAAGGGCCTACAGAAAGTAATATAAGTAGGAAATGATCATGAGTCTGGAGAGATATTATAGCGAGGAGGGGGTGCACATTATGACCCTCCATCCTTTGCTTTTGAAAAGGGAAGCATTCATTACTTGACTAGGAAGAAACCTCCAGCAAATAGCCCACATAAGATGCATCGGGTCAATCATGAAGCAAAATTCCATTAAAATATCATAATAAAGAAACATCCACCTCCACTAGCACTTGAACCGGTGAGTAATATCCGTAGCACTGAGATTTAGAAACACATAATAAACCATATACTGGAGTTCCAGTTTGTAGAAACAAGAAAAGCATCTTCATCTCTATACAGAGTTTATTGTTCTTGCACTGGTTGCCTAATGAAGACATCGGATAGAGCAAAGCCGCTAAAGAAAGAAGCCACCAAAAGACACAAAGGCTGAAACAATTAAAGGTGTAGCCGCGCGGCCATACATGTTTTGACATGTGGGAGGCTAGGCGCTAGACGGGTGTCTTTTCTTCTATAAATAATATAGCTGCGCAGCTTTACTATGGAGTTCTTTTTTAAAATAGTATAGCTGCTCGGCTATACATGTTTTGACACGTAGTCGCCCAGGTGCTAGTCGTGTCCTTTTGTTTCCTATAAATTGTAACGCTGAGCAGCCATACACTCAGATTTTTTTCAAAATAGTATAGCCGCTCGACCTTCCTACGATATTTTTTTTATTACAAAAATAGTATAGCCACTTGGCTAGGCAGGTCCCCTTTTTTCTATAAATATTCTATTTGTTGTTTAATTTAATTGTTTAATTAAATTATTAGAATAATATTGATTGATGTTCCTCAAACAAGTTGCACTCTAGAGAATGAGCTAAATCAAAAGCAAACATACCCACAAAAAAAGAAGAAAAAAAAATTGAACTCTCAAATTGATTTACTCTAAAATTTCTCTCTCTTCAATATCTGCATTGGTTATGTTGAAACTAGCCAATTAATATTAATAAAGTATAAACTAACGCAACTAGGAGGGTACTTTTGTTATTATTTTTTAAATAAAGGATATATAATACATTTAAAATACAGACGTATGTGTACAATACGAGTATTAAAAGTGAAAATGCTAATTCTTTATATGGGTACTAACTCTGAAAAAGTGAAAACTGAAAAGGGGACAATAAAGACTCGGGTAATGGCCTAATGGTAATGGATAATGCTATAAACTATCAATAGACAAAAATCAGGGAAAAACAATTTTAAAAAAAAGATCACAGCATTTGTGTAAAGCGTATAGCCGCTGGGCTATACTATTTATAAAAATTAAAAATTTAAAAAAAAAAAAAAAAAGAAGAAAAAAAGAGCACCTGTTAGGTGCTCGTGTCAAAAACAGTATAGCCGGGCGGCTGTACAGGTGTATAGCCTAGAGGCTATACTATTTATAAATATAAAATAATATAAAATAAAATAATATAAAAATAGGACCTGCCTAGTGGGTAGCGGCGACGTGTCAAAAACAGTATAGCCGGCGATGGGTATAGAAAATAAATGTAAATTACAATAGGAAATAAATCTCAATTACAACTGGACTAGATAAATGGGTAAATAACCAAAATGCTAACTAAGTAAGGACTCGCCAACAAAATCCCTAATTTGGTTTGGAGTAAAATCCTAAATCTTTTTGTAAAAGGATTCTAATGATTGTATATAAATAACATGAGAGCCATGTTGTTTCTTCAATCATAATTACGCAATAGCAATTACTTTTGTCCTAGCAAAGAGAATTAACCATGTTTGGTCGTCGAGAAACACTTGCTCCTAGAAAAAGAAGAATGACAATAGGGCAGACACTAAGAAGCATCCATGCCCTCATCATGTTATCCTTCCTTGGGATGACCTTTGTAGCAATGTTGTGTTTAATTTTCGGATATTAGTTCATTCTATGATTTTTACCTAATGGATGGTGAGCAAAAGTATGTCTAGATCCTCTACCTTTTCGCATCGTTACTTAGTAGAGTTTATTTGATCTTCGAGAATATCTCATGTCGAAAATTCAGGGTTTAGGGTTTAGATATCTCCTCTCTTTGATTTAGGAGGCTAGTATTTCTTCCTTGTGGTTGGTTCGGCTTTTGCATTGGCGGGTGTAATTTTACTTTCAATTTTTAGTTTTGGTTAGTTTTAATTGTTGCTTTATAGGTCCTGATTTGGTTATATTCTCCAAATTTTGTTATCACTCTGCTGTTATGCCAATGTAAAAACTTTATTAGAATATGAAATTACTTGGTTTTCAAATACACAATTTTGTTCTTGGGAGTTTTTAGCCTCAGAAACTAGAACTGCCGGCTGCTAGTTTCGCACAGTGAAATGCAGGTTTAAAAACAGTTCCGCAATCGGTATTCTGATCATTCCAAACGTTAGGGTTGAGTTTTTTAAAGTCAGAAAATACGTTTGGTAGTGAAATACTGATCTTGAATTTTAAAAAAAATTGAAAGAAACTGTTTGGTTTGAAGGAAAAAGAAAACCTATTCAGCAACTCCAAATGCTAAACAAATACAACAAAAAGACAGAGGAAGACAATCTTTCTGAGTTCTCTGAGGCTCCAAAAAATACCACAACTGTTTCTCAATTCAATAACTTCATGGTTCAAAAACTTGGAAAACCAAATCGCCTTCGACGTTTTCAGAAAGTGCAAAAGAAAATTGAAAAGCATAAAATTATATTTGTAAAGTATCAAACTTAATGAATATGTAGTTAAATTTTATTTTGAAGCTGGGTACCATATATATAAATCAAAGATATTCAAACACAAATACGCCTGACATTGTCATGGAACAAAATTGACAGACTAAACTAATATAATTCCAGTTACGAATGACAAAAATAGTCTACCAGACAAAACCCAGCAGGAAAAACACATCATAATATTCTCTCTTGCTACACCAATTTTCCTCCTCATCCCCAACTCAAGGAAACAAAAGACATTGGTAAACCAAAAAAAGCAAAATGGACTATGAAAACGTCTTTAGAATTTTAAAGAAATAAATTACTGGGATACTCCAAGCCACTTTGTGAAGTTGTCAAACTCTGTGTAGTCGCTGTCTGAGATCATCGTTTGGTACCATGCCTTACCAGCTGCCTTGATGGTTGAAGCTTCCTCCTGGATAAAGAGAAATAGACAACAAAGAAATACATTATTACACAAGCCCCGATCACATAAAACAGTGCAAAAGATTAATGAAATTCCTCCACATAAAAAACAATGACCGTGAGTGGATATCTGGCTCGATAACATGAAGGAAGCATTCTATTAAGAATCAGGACTGATTTATGAATATGTCAATCACACTCCAAAACAGACTCCACATCGATACAATCAATCATGAAAATTATCTGCCTTATGATCAAAAGCAATTGAACATAAAATTAAATATATAGAGCAGCATGCATTCCCTAACCTTAGTATTAAGATGCACTTAGAGAGACTAACATGTGCATTCAAACAATTAAGCATACAACAATAAAGCTTTGATTCATAACACTAGTAGAAATACAACATCAATTAAAAATGAAAACCCCAAATTTTCTACAACAAAAACATATTCCTAATCGAACAATCTTAACCACCATGTAAATAATCAACAGAATCAATTGACCACAAACAGAAACGTATAATCTCAGAAGTTGGGGTGATTTGATTACCTTAGAAATGGGCTTCCTCTTCTTGTCAAGCTTCTCCTTCTTAGCCTTGACCCTCTCCGCCTCGGCCAACAAAGACATTCTCCTAGCTGTCTTTGCATAAGGATTCAACTTAAGCAGGGTATTCAGATTCTTCAGAGGATTCTTCTTCAATGGAGCCCTCTTCACTTCCTTCTTGATCGGCCTAACAACACTCTGAACCTCATCGGAGTTAATAATCCTCGCCAAATCAGCATTCACCATCTTCGACCTCGGCAACACGTACCCATTCTTCTTCTCAGAAACCTTATCAAATGAGCCATAGATCGAATCCAATTTCTCGAAAGCCGACTTGGTCCAGACGACAAACCGACCCAAATGCCCACCGGGAGCAAGCTTCAACAGGTTAAGCCTCTCCACATTGATGATATCAATACCAGGAATGTTCCTAAACGCCTTCACGAGCTTGGCCCCCTCAGTCCCGTACACAATCAACGGCCCCTTTCGGTTAATATAGCGCCTGTTCCTCATCTTACCCTTTCCAGGTCGGATCGAGTGGCTGTCCTTCGCCTTCTCAGCATCGGAGTAAGCCCCGATCTGCTTCAAAACCTTCAAAGCCGCCGAGGTCTTCTCAACACCTTCAATGGAGTCGCTAACAACCAGGGGCAATTCAGGAACAGTCTCAATCTTGTGCCCGCGGGCCAAAACAAGAGACGGCACCGCCGAGGCGGCGATCGCTGAAACGACGGCGTACCGCTTCTGGTTGACGTTGATCTTCCGGTGCCAGCGGCGCCAGATCTTGGTGGGCGCGAACATGCGGCCACCTCGGCACATGTTGCCGAAAGCTCCCTGGCCGGCCCGGTGGGTCCCGCCGCCGGGGACACGAGGGATACGGGAGACGGCTCGGCCGGTACCCCAGGACTCGGCTGAGGTCTGGTGGCCGGCCTTCTTGGAGACGGCGTAGGGCTGGCGGGAGTTCTTCGAAATATTGGAGTGGACGAAGGTGACGATGTCGGGCCGGATCGAGGCCTTCATGACGTCGGGTAGGGCAACGGTTTGGGTCTGGTCTGTGGCCATGTCGCCTTCCAAGGACTGGACTGTGACCAGGGGACGCGCAGCTGCGGCGGCGGCGGCCATTTGGTCTCTCAGAAAATGAAGGGAAGGGGAGGTGGGATATACGAACTTTGGACTGAAGGGCAGCTAGGGTTTTGTGTTGTTTTTTATAGTGTAAACGTGGAAGGTAGGGTTTGATTGGGTTTTTTTTTTGGGGGTTGTGTTAAATGGGCCAGTTCTGATCGCTTTCTCTTCCAGCTATTTGGGCTTAAGTGAAGGTTTTGTTTGAACTTTAGCAGACAGTACGAACCCAAAACCCGCAAAAGATTTACCAAAAATCCCCGGTTGGAGATGGCCAGTGGTATCGTTGTCTCCATCCCCGAACCCGGCCCAATTAGTGATATATATAATTTTTTTAATTAATGAATATAGAATATAGAATATATATTTCAATAAACCAATAGGAAACAATTCATGATTTTCTTGGTTGACCATGAAACATATGTAAATTATTTTTTTATGTGTTCTCCCTTCGTTATTAGAACCTCCTTCCATTCCATATTGTCTGATAAAGCTACGGTGCTGGTACGAATTCTTCTTCCGGTTGGAAAATTATACCTCTTCTATAATGCTACTAGTTTTTTTGTTTTTTTGTTTTTTTTATCTTTTATTTTTGAAGGTCTTTAATGTGTTTTGTTGTTGTTAAGTTTAGCAGTAAAATAAGTATTTTGAGACAAAATATTTAGTTTTGATTGTGGAATATATGATTTCTATTAGTTTGTCAAATTGTTTAGATGATTTTAAGTAGTTAAGTTGAATTTTATGATTTAATTGAATATAATTGAGTTTATTTTTTGGTCAAAATTGAGTGTAATATATTTTTAATAAATAAAAACCGGGGATTCGGGGCGGGTTTGGGAGACAACCCCCCAACGGGTACAGGGACAGGGATGGTATTGCCATACCCGTCCCCGAACCAACCCGTTGCCATCCCTAGCCTATGCACCAATCCCCTAGTGCCGAATGTGCTTGATTGATTATGATACAAACACTAATAATAAGAGCCACCATTTTTGCCAAATTGTAGCCTCTTCTCTCATTGAGTAGAGAACTCACAAATTTTAACCGAGAAACTCACAAAAACGAACAATAGAGAGAACTCATAACATCAAACTCAAAATCAGGTCAAGATCTAAATAAAAGGAGATAATCTAACCCAAAAAAAATATATAACATTCAACATCTAACCCACAAAATCTGAAACCACAATATCAATCAGAAGCCAAATAAGTCTTCCTGGATATGAGAGAGAGAGAGAGAGAGAGAGAGAGAGAGAGAGAGAGAGAGAGATAAAATAGTAGGAGAAAGGAGAGATGAATAGCGAATAAGGCAAACTAGATGGGATGGGAAGGAGACACGACGACAACAGAGTTTAAGGCTAAAAGAGACGATGATGATAGAGGATGAGGCTAAAGGAGACGATGACAACATAGGCTGAGGCTAAAAGAAACGACAACACACCTCTCTTCATTCGAAACCCACATCTCAGATTGAATTTCATATCCCTAGTTATTTGGGATTTGGATCCGAAGGCCCATATCCAGTCTGAAACACATTTAAGCCCACCAAACAATGGTCGGGATCCATATCCATTTTAATTAGAAATATCTCATCCAATCCCGCCCACCAAACATAACCTTAAGACTTTAGTAGTTGGATCATCTTTTTCATTCTTATACCAACATATGAAAAAATAATATTCATCGAGATAATATATTAAAAAGTCATTCAATTTTATGGAACTTGAAAATTTTGTAAAACCCTCAAAAAATTTGTGAAATAAGTAAGTTGTAAATAGGTAATACTTGCGAAACTAGGCACTTGAAAAAGAAAATTCTAAAGGCCCTGTTTGGTAAGCTAGACTGGACTGCACTGGATTAACCTTTCTACATTACACTGGACTGGTTAGGATATGACTGGATTTTAAGAAGTTGTTTGGTGCAGTACAACACCAAAGTTGAGATTAGTATGCCATTTATTGATTTATTTATTTTTATATTCTCATTTCCAAATTAATTACACAAAATAGATTTTCAATCCAACAAAAAAATACAAATATAAAATAAAGGGTGGAAGCTGGAAGACGAAAGGCATGAGGTGGAGTTTGATGGCAGCAGCAAGTTCCCAGAAGTAGACGCCAGCACTCAAGCTTTCACTTCCTCCCCAAATACCAGTTTTTACATACTCTTCATCAGATCTTGAATTTTCAGCCACCTCCCTTCATATCTCAAAGAACAAAAAATTGCAAAATTATATATATAAATAAAGAGGAAGAAGTTATGAATCTGCCCTTCACCAATTTTTTCTTCCACCATATGCCTTTCATTCAAGATCTGAGGTCTATATATGGCAACGAAGAAGATTTGGCAAAGGGGAAGAGAGAGAAGAGAGAAGAGGAGAAAAGAAGAGAAGAGTGGAAGAAAGAGAGAAGAAGATAAGAGAAGAGAAGAGAAGAGGGGAAGAGAGAAGAAGATAAGAGAAGAGAAGAGAAGAGGGGAAGAGAGAAAGAAGAAGAAGAGAGAGAAGAAGAGAGATGGCTGGAGGCGTGCTGGCTTCGCAACCCACGTCTGGGGTTGGGTTTCTAAGCCCCAATTATTTGGGACTTGGATCCAAAGTCTATATCCCTAGACACACTTTAAGTTCACCAAACAATAGCTAGGACTCATGTCCATTTTAATTGAAAATATCCAGTCCAGTCCAACTTACCAAATGGGGCCAAAAAGGTCTATCAAACGAAACAAATTCATCCTCGCTTTTGCTTAAAACACCTCATCTTAGGAAAGAAAAAAGAAAATGTTCCAAATTACAAACGATTCATATGTTTTACTCCATATGTCAAAAAAATTACATTACTTGTTCAGGAAGAAGAAGAAGAAGAAGAAGACAAATTGATAAAATTGATTGAAGATTTAATGTAAAAATTGCATTACTTGCGAGTGGCAGTGCCGGGCAGAGAGACCATTCCATGAGCAACACAAACACAACAGCAGGCAGCGGCCATAAGTCCCAAAAAAGATTATGTTGTTGTGGGTTCACCTGGTCAACAGCTCACCTTTCACGTGAACCAACGTGGCTGCCTTATAACCCATATGCTCTATGGATCCAATCGAATCTACACCCAAATTATCCACTACAAAATTGCCACATCAAACCTTCTACCTTGTAATATCGGACGGCCGGGTTTAGTGGCTCGGGCTAAACTGAACTATTTCAATTAAATCACACATGTATTACTGTTATATAGTGAATTTATAAATGTTAACGGAATTTAGTTTAATAGAAAAGGATCATGATTTATAGACAAATGATGATCGAACATCCATAGCACCCCTTTCCTAACTTTGGAAAGAAAAAACTTATAAAATGTTGATATTAGAAAGCCATTCAATCCAATATATGAATCAACAAATGAATTACTATCCATTTGAATTAATTATGCAACCAAGCCACCCACCACCTTGACTTTCATTAATTAAACGTCTATTCATACTACCCATAAGCCTCTGATTTTTTTTCAAAAATAAATAAAATAAAAACATCTTTTACAATCATTCAAGGGTAATTCTACCTCTATTTTTCTATTCAGAAATAATTAATTTTGAAAATGATTATAATAAAAATAAAAAAAATCAAAGATGGCAAATCAGATGATTAAGCATAAAACTTTTTCTTCACAGCAATGATCATCGAATTGACATTTGTGATTTCGTGCGCTTATGGAACACGCTCAAGAAGAAGCTAAATGGGCGTTTTGGTAATTTACGGCAACATGCCATGTCATTTTATCTTTCCTCTTCTTGATTTTTTTTCCACTTCCTCCTTTACGTGCTTCTCGGTAACCTGCGCGCACACCGCAAATGACAAATTGACCACAACTTGACTTGTGGCCCTCACCCGGCCAGCAGAGGGTATAATAGTCATCTCGTTTCTTTTCGCAGTCAATGGTCTGATGATACGCTAAAACCGTATATACGGCGTATCTACGCCACAAGCAGGCCTGGCACTCTGTAACGCTAGTTCTACGCGCCTACCTCATGTGTGGCTCACGCGTTTTAGGGCTTGTAGTCTTTCCTGCCTTTTCCATTTCTTATAAAGCTTATGTTAATAATTGCTCTCTAAATTAAGTTTTTGAACACTATAGCCCTTTAATATTGAATTGCATGCAACTTTGGTCCTTCTGGCAAAATCTGTTTGCTGTTAACCAAATTTAGGAGTAAAAAGTTATGAGTAGGTGAAATGTTATTAGCATAGAATGACTATATGTAGTGTTAATAATAACTCCATTAAGTAGTATAAATAATTCATCCTATAAATCCACTTTTTGGGTCTATTTTTGTTTGGTAAAGAGGGGGCCGAAGCCCAGACAAATTTTTTGGTCTATTTTTCAGTACATGCGATAGTCTAAACTAGAGGAAAGAAGAATTTATCTTTCACACAAAAATAATGTTATAGGAGTTCAAACCTATTTCTTTTTTTGGTCTATTATATCAACTTGTTGGTAGTTGAAAACTAGCCCTTATCACATGGGTATTGCTTTTTCAATAACATAAGTTCTCCTTCCAACATGACAATAATCACTTTTATAAAAAATAACATGATAATGATAATAATGAATGTGTTTGTAATTTAAATGTATTTATTTCCTTAACTAATTACATTTCACAGTGACAATATTTAACAATAAATTGGATAGAGTTAGGCTTAATTTGTGGAAGGATCGGATCGAAATTAGGAGATTTCAATTGTAATTCAAATATTTTTTTTTTTTTTTTTTTTTTTTTCAGAATTTCAACATCCATTCCGATTCGGAAAACTAATAGTTGTTTGGGAAATTTCAGGACTCGGAATTTTTTTTTGTGTGGAAGATTTCGAAAATTAGTTCAATCCAACTTACATCCCTAAATGTCGGAACTTTTAGATGTTGAAATTGATTTGAACTTGTCAAAAGTGAAAAATTTCGAATCTAAATTGACCATAATTTGAATTCCCAATTCGACTTACACTTTTTGTTTAGATGAAGGAATTGCAAATTGCATAGAATTCTTAAATGATGAAATTTAAATCTCAATCGTTTAAATTTCTGGCAATTAATAATTTCAGTGTTTGGATTTATATATGTCGAATTTTGTAAATGACAGAAATTACAGTGAAAAATGATTTCATACTTAATTGAAATTGCAAAATAAGGGCTCTTTTGGTGGAAATTAAACTCAGGAATCTTGATCCCCAATTTCCACTATTTTTTCCGCATGTCATTTAATAAGTTCCATGCTTTTTTTTTTTAGAAGACCTTTCCTATTGAGAGGGGCGATAACAAACTAAACTCACACACTACACAAATGCCAGGACTCGAACCCAGGATCTTTCTTGACTAGGGGTGCAATTGCTCCAAATCACTACACTAGTGGGTCCTTTGCAATAAGTTTCATGCTTAAGTTGCCAAACAATGAAAATATCAATTTTTCCTATTTAATTATTGACTTTTAGCTCAATCCCGAGTTATTTCCCTCCATCCAAACGGAGGGTAAAAGAAATTAATAGTAAAGGGGAACAATAGGAAATTTGAGAGAGCAATACGAAACTAATTTAGGAGGAACAACTAAATTTTCACTTTCTTTTAAATTTATAAACAATAGTAAAAAGAGAAAAACAGTGACATTTTTAGTGGGAAAAGAGTGAAGAGAAACACGCGCCATGAGTGCGAGGAAGGGTTGGCAGCAGTCCAAATAAAAAATATAATAATAAGCGCAAAAATGAAATAAAGGAGAATAAATCGCCGGCTGTGTTTGTGTTTGGAAGAAAGGCAAACGACTGTTTCCATTAATGTGAGAGAGAGAGAGAGAGAGTGTTTTGGGAAGGAGACACACAAAAGAATCGTCTTTAACGAATCATAAAATCAGACACATCCCAATTAAAATCCATTTTATTTTTTTCCAATTTTAATTCTTTTCATCATTTCCATTTTTCTACTCATCCAGCTCCCTCTCTCTCTGCGAGGCCAGACTGTTGGTCGTCTTCTCTGCTCCTTCTTGTGTGTGTGCCCTAGATCTTGAGAGAGAGAGAGTCAACGATAAATCACTACGCAGAAGAAGTTTCAGATTCCAGATCTTCAATTCTTGATTCGAAGCTCCTTTCAGCTCATTGCATCAGCTACCTCTTTCCATGCTCTCCAAGTTTTCAGAGTGAGAGTGAGATAAGACTTTGCTTTTGAATTTTCGTTTTTGTTGGTGTAGCTACGTTATTGGGAAGTGGTTGTTCGGCTGTTGCTTGGTTTCTTGGAAACCAAACAGGGCAGAAAGAAATGGTGGAAAATTTTGGGGGTTGTGAGTGGTTGAGTTGACTAACGAGGCACTAGAGCTTGCGTCTTGCAGTTGGGTTTTAATTTTCGGGTTTAGATTGGAATCTGTGGGTTGGTTTGACTTTTCTTTACTACGATCGTTGGCTTTTTTTTAAATACCTACATACATATTCAGGCGTTTGGTTTTAGTTGTTGCGCTGATTCTGAGCTTTGAATTCTGAAAATAGGGTTCGCTTATCAAATTCTATCTTTTTCTGGACCTTACGTTTTGTTGCTGAGAAAAGGTAAGGAGAAGAAGGGGAAGAGAAACAAAGAGTTGAAGTTTTGTTTTAGTAATTTGTAAACCATACAGTACGACCCATCTGAGCATGATACTTTCTTCGAAGACTAGGATTTCTTTTTTCCGTTTTCTTTTCAAATGCAATTTTCGGCAAACGATTCTAAGCAATAACAATTACCTTTGGAATTAATTGCTTGATTGTTATCAATTTGATTTGATTTCTGATGCCGCTTACTTTTTGAAAGGTTGCATTGCGCTTCTGTGTGAGGCATATTAGCATTCTCATACATGAGAGTGTTAATCTAACTTTTTTTTTTGGACAGAGTTAATCTAACATCCTTTCTAATGATTTTTATGTCCATATGTCATGCTTGCTGTACCTGTTACTGTTTACTATCAGGATTAGTAGTGATCTAGGCATATTTTTCTTATTAGGAATGGTATTACCAATTTGTCAGCAGTCTTGTGTACCTGCTTAGGATATCCTGTTTATTTTCAGAATAAATTTGTATGAATTAGTCTGCTTATTATTTTACTTGCAGATTGCAGAAATCTCCACACAAATCAATTGAAGTTTCTCTGCTAGACTGTTGATACTAAATCCATATCAAATAGTACAATGGTGGATGGGGACAATAGACAGGAATGAGATCATTAGGTGATGAAATTGTGATGCATTTAGTCTAGATGAAGACGGGTCAGTGGCGACTAGGCATGGGTGACATGCAGATCTTGCCCGGGGCTCGCCATCGCCCACCTCTGAAGAGGCCATTGTGGATTATTGTCTTGGTTTCTTTGGTCAGCATCTTTGTGATTTGTGCTTTTCTCTACCCACCTCAAAGCAGTGCCGCTTGTTACATATTTTCTTCGAGAGGTTGCAAGGCTATTACCGATTGGCTTCCACCTGCTCCTGCAAGGGAATATACTGATGCTGAGATTGCATCCCGTGTTGTGATTAGAGAGATTTTGAGCGCACCTCCTATTCAATCCAAGAATCCGAAAATTGCTTTCATGTTCCTTACACCCAGTGCATTGCCTTTTGAGAAGCTGTGGGATAAGTTTTTCCATGTAAGGTTTCATCTGTTATGATTTATTGGCCCCAAAAAAAAAAAAATTTCTCCTTTTTGTTTGTTTCCTTGGAAGTTTTATCCTAATATGCCTGTCCTGCTTAATTAGTTTAAGCATATTCAAACAAAATCTAATTTTTCAGATAATGCTTTCAAATTAGCACATTAAGAATATGAAGTGATCAACTCATGTTGTGGTTTCCTATAATCACAAGGATAGTTGGAACGTCCCCATACAAGCGAGTCTTTAATACATGATTTATATTGTGATTACTGGTCAACAGTTTAGCACTATGTTGGACAAATAATTATCATGTTTGCTTAATTTCATCAAGCTATCAAATATTCAAGTTTGACAATACAGTATAAGGGTTGACTAAAGCTAAATTTTTTGTTGTATTTGGAGCGAAATAACAAGCCTAATAGGAGAAGCTTCTCATATGGACATATGGATGAGGGCAATAATTCATTGAACAAGGTTCTATACCAAAGTGGCACTCATGCATCCAATTTGTAAACTTTTGTTGTCCTTGTGGCTGATGAGATGAGTTGGTGCTAAGCTTTCTTATGAGTTGTAACCTGCTTGAAAAATGTTAAGTTACATATGATGATCTCTGTTACTTTTGGTGTTTTTAGTGTAATCTGTATGTATGGATTTTCATGCCCCTTGATGCACTTTCCAGTGGCTGTTTTCTTATTAAAAAATTAGTGACTCTGATTTTATAGTAGGATGTTATACAACAGACATCTGTTTATGTCAAATTAGGGCTTTTCCATGGTAATATGTGGAAATAAATGTCGAAGGACATAATTTCTAATCTTGCTCACTCAGTATTCCAGTGTTGATAAAGCCTGCTCAAGTAATTATGAATTCATATGCTTACCTTAAGTCTTTCAATTTTTTATTTGGCAGGGTCATGAAGGAAGGTTCTCTGTTTATGTCCATGCTTCTAAAGAAAAGGCAATTCATTTGAGCCGTTACTTTCTTAATCGCGAGATACGCAGTGACCCGGTAAACCTGATTTTATTGTCATAGTCATTCATGATTGGATTGCATTACTTTAGAAGATTAATGTTTCATACTTTTCAATGTTATTTGAAATAGAAATGAGAATTAACAGACTCCTTGTCTACTGCTATACAAAAACAAAATTTGTTACAGTTGATGAAACCCTCCATCATACGAAACAAAGGACATGATATACAGTGAATATTAAAGCTAGTAAATAACAAACAAACATGTAGAAGATGTTAAAAACAACGTATCCCATCTCATATATTACCATAGACCTCCTACTTGCTTAATTGATGTATGCATCAGGCAGCCTTATATCTCGTTTAATCGAGTTAAAACATGCCAGTTCGGCCACTTAATTGTTAATTGTTAATGTCAGATATTAAGTGGGTGGCGGGGGAATATTTTGTTGTGGAGGGGGTGATTGATTATTTAATCCATACAGTATAATAGTCTCTCCTAAAGAAGCTGAGCATAATCTTTCACAATAACTCAAATAGTAGAAAATGTCTGATTATTTCTTTATTCTGACCTATGTAAATCTTGAACAATTTTAAGCGAGCAGACTATCATGGAAGGGGTTAGAGTTGTGTAGATGATGTTACACAGACAGGTAGAAGAAAATGAGGATAACACAATATGACATATCTTTCACATGTTTTCTTTTCTTAAACCAGATCTACTTAGAGCCAAACTTTTGAAGCCAATATAACTACAACTAAAATTGTTAGTAGAATTCTTATTCCTTGTTGGCTGGATTAATATTATATCATACTCATAGTCATTATATCAGTAGTGGTGATGGTGGTTTATTGTCTTCATGTTTAACTAGTGATCAAGTAGATTAATCAGATTGACAATTTGATCATGTTTTCAGGTGATTTGGGGGAAAATTTCCATGGTAGATGCAGAGAGAAGATTATTGATAAATGCTCTTCAAGATCCTGATAACCAGCATTTTGTCTTACTTTCTGAAAGGTGATCAAATTCTAGGTACCTTTAGTCATCCTTTTTCTGTTGAGTTCTGATTAGTTCTGCAATTATTAATTTCTTATTAATTCTTTCTGTTATGCAGTTGTGTGCCACTGTATCCATTTGACTATATCTATGACTATCTGATGAATACAAATATAAGCTATGTTGACTGGTAAGTGAAATCTTCTTCTATGAGCTACTGTTTTAGTTTAAATGTGTGGGTAGCTCATCATTATGCGAATGCATTTTTGTTTTGATGAATAGGTACAGTTATGACAGTTGCTTCCATAGTAGGGTTTTATTTTTATATCTTATGTTGTTTTCTCTTTTCAGCTTTGAGGATCCTGGTCCACATGGAAATGGGAGGTATTCTGAGCACATGTTACCTGAAATTGAAAAGAAAGACTTTAGAAAGGGTGCACAGGTATTTTTCATTATGTTGTTGCTGCAAATGTAGTTTTTATAATCTCGGGAAATTTGATATTTGCTTAATGGAGTTCTCCATCTCTTTATGGCCATTTTTATCGGTCTTATGAACATGCACTGTCAGTAGGTAATATCAACACATTTTGACAGTAGAGCAATATGACCACCCAAAAAGTAATTCTTGATTCCAAGGTGTTAGAAAATTGAAGGCTTGTTGGCTGTGTAATAGATTCTTGCCATGAGGTTGTGCATGGGTCAGAGGTAGTGCAGTTTAACTATCTAGATGTAGGAATTATTTTTTCGTTTTGATCCCCATTTTTTTGGCCAGGGTTGGTGGTGACAAAGGGATCGATTTTTGAGATGTATTGGTATTCAAATATTTGAAATTCAAGTATCTTCTGTTTTTTCCCCTTTATTAAGTTTATATTCTGAATTATATGCAGTGGTTCACTATGAAGCGTCAGCATGCTGTAATAGTAATGGCTGACAGTCTTTACTACTCAAAATTCCGGGACTACTGCAGGGCAAGTTCTTTTTTTCTTTTTTTGTGTACATTTCTACATCTGCCTTGTTTGTAGTTCTTAATATTTTCATATGTTATATGTTTTTGCCTCTAATTTATTTACCATGTAGATATAGCATATGTGCATGTACGATACCTTCATCCTTGCTTTCTCCTATTATGGGTGTAATTAAATTCTAGGTTGCTCTTTATTTGGTTTTTTCTGATGACGTAAGCTCTTTTAAGGCTCAAAATTTTATTGTTGATATGTAAAATATTTGCTCGATTTCAACGTATGGCTTTCCTCCTTCTCATGCTTGGGCCACTATACAGTTGACATGCAAGTATTTGATAGGTTTTTGTGATCTTTAAAACTATGAAACCCTATGTTCCCTAGCCCAATTTCTTGATGTGGATCTTGTTGGTTATTACAGCCAGGTTTGGACGGGCGCAATTGCATTGCTGATGAACATTACTTGCCTACCTTTTTCAATGTGAGAATTTCCTCTCTAAGAATTTCCTCTTCTGTGTTTCCTTGTATTTAGCATCTCAGTCTGAATGAAATTTCTTTTGCACTTGTTTTCAGATAATTGATCCTGGTGGAATTGCAAACTGGTCCGTAACACATGTTGATTGGTCTGAAAGAAAGTGGCATCCAAAGTTATACAAGGGTCAGGATATTACTAACGACCTTCTGAAGAATATTACGGTACAGTTCTGCTATAAGCTTTTATATATATATATATATATATATATATCTGTGTGTGTTCTAGTTATAAATAAGAGCCCCATCATGCATGCATGTTTATCTTGTTTGGATATGTGCTGCTAAACACTGACTCTGCAATTTCTTGAAGTTCGCATAATGCTACTGTGCAATTTTTGTTCTACCTGTCTGTGTAAGGTACACTGTGTGAAGAATGTGTGCTGCTGGACACTGACTGCAATTTCTTAGGAAGTTTGTGTAATGCAACTTCGCATATTGCTTCTAAAAACTGTGCAATTTTTTTATTTGGTTGGTTGGGTGGTTGGCACTGAGCCAATATTGTCATCTGATCAATACCATCCCTCGCTTCTCTCTCTCCACCCAACCGAAAAAAAGAAAATGCTCCATGCTTTTGAATTTCAGTTTTTAGTACTCGGCCTTTTAATGAAGATGTGGCCTGAATTGATTGGTGGCTTGAAATGACCTGGTGGATGTATAAGTTGGAGTGTCTCTCATTTAGTTGCTTTGGATGTGCCATTGCAATCTTTGTTACACCATCAGTTCCAACATATATAATACTATAGAGAGTACCAATTCAAATACAAATTGTTCATAATTTCTGACGGAGACTTTTGTTGTCTTGTCTCTGCAGTCAGTTGATGTGAGCGTGCATGTAACCAGTGATGAGAAGGTATGCATCTAAAAGATTGCTAATTCATGCTTCAGGAATTTGAATATTGGATGGCTTGGAAATAACTCATTATAATTTAATCCCATTTTTTGTTTTGTTTTTCAGAGGGTAGTACAGAAATGGCCTTGCTTATGGAATGGTATACGACGGCCGTGTTACTTGTTTGCAAGGAAGTTCCATCCAGAGACTCTCAATAACTTGTTGCACCTTTTTGCCAATTATACAACAATTTGAGCCAGATATTTTTGATTCCATATTCTTTGGTTGGATTGTTTTCGACCCTTTCACTCCCATCTTATTTCCAGTATAGCTGACGAAGTTGTAAATTGCCAAATTATAGAGGCTTGATTGTTCGTTCCCCCCGACCACAATTCTTGAGTGCAAGGGCAACAGGCAGAGCAATTAGGGTGACCGGAGTCTGGCAGGAGGCTAACAAGCTAGTGTTGCTTCCGTGGGTATGAGGATATGTTGATCTGTACAAACCCTTCATTTTGCGCTATCAGTGTTAAATTTCTAGAACATAATTTTTCTTTTTCGGGGGACTCTTTCACTGCATTTTGTGGTTAGTCTTTGTAAAAGATGAAGTTTGAACTCTCAAGTGGCAAATATACAACACACAATAGCCGTGAAATTCACGCTTTAAAAATTATTTTGTGCATGTGTGGAAATTCATAGAGAATTAGAAACATATAATGATTGAATTGGAAAAGCTCAAATTTTTTTTTTCCGTACGTTATCTTGTCTTGAGAGAAGAAGAGTTGGAAACACTGAAGTAAGCAGTGAATGATTCTATGCCCTGGCTGCCTTGGGAATTTACAGACCAGATGCAACCGCACAATGACCAAGATTACAGTATAATTAAGCGCATACCAACCAAGGTAAAGAGTTTATTTGTAGGGTAGACCCAAATGAGTGGTTAGCACCGTATTGTTTGGGAGTGATTCTAAATAACTCAATAATCACTTTTCCATATAATCACTTTTAAGTGGTTTTAAGTGATTTATGGAGAAGCACATGCCTCAGAGAATCACTAAAAGTGATTATATAGAGAAGCATGCGAGGTTCTTCTCCCCAGAAGTCCAAAATCACTCCCAAAACTTACTAACTAATAAGCCCTTGAGCACTACTGTATATATTACCCATATTTTAAATGGTAATCCATGACCCTTAATCAAATTTTCACATATTTTACATGGGTTTAATTGTTTTCTAATTTTTATTAGTCATTATCATTACTGACAGAAATTTACCAAATTTCCATTAAGTTTTGTATGGTCTTGGACAAGAATAATATAGCAGTTATGAGACTACCTTAAAAAGGAAGATGAAAACTGAATGGAAAACCTAATGCCATGACTCATGCGTGTGAAAACTAAATGGAAAGACTGCCTTGTTAAAGAACCCTACACACAAGATTATCTTGTTATTTTTCCCTTTATTGCATAGTCATTTTCTTAGGAGGATGCTTTTGATAAGAGCAAGCATATAAGGCAAGTCTACAGTCTGGAGGATACTTCCATATATGTATATTTCTACATACGCATAGTTATAAAGAAGCACAGCTCTCTTGCCTCGTCTGCCTTGAACAATTCTGTGTTCTTTTAAGCAGTAGCCATGGCAGCCCTGTTCCCGGAACCTGTTAGGCTCTCCCTTACTAATTTTGTTATTTTCTTAGATTTGTTATGCTTAACCGCCACAGCTTCCACCATCGAAAGACCAAGGAGTTTTGCCACAAAACTCATTCACCGCGATTCTGCTTTGTCTCCTTACTACAAACCTAATGCAACCATCAAAGACCATGCTATGCACACGTTGAAAACCTCCATGGCACGCTAGCATACTTGGGAGCAAAGTCTAATGTTTTTGTGACAGACGATACTCGTGCCGGGCTTGTTGCTGAGGACAATGGAGCACAATTCATGGCAAGTTTCTCAATCGGTGAGCCACCAGCTCCACAGCTCTTGACCATAGACACAGGCAGCAACTTATTGTGGGTTCAGTGCCTTCCATGCACCAAGTGTTTTGAACAAGCCTCTCCAATTTTTGACCCTTCTAAGTCCTCAACATACACCACATTACAATGCAACTCTCCCTATTGCACCATTTCCCCTAGTGACAAATGTGACCCCTCAAACAATTGCAAGTTCTCTCACAAGTACCTTGATGGCACTGATGTAGCCGGACTTCTTGGGACCGAAAAGTTCACCTTGGAGACGTCCGACGAAGGCATTAGCCCTGTCGCGAATGTGGTTTTTGGTTGTGCCCATGACAATGATTGTTACAATGGCCAACCTAGTGGAATACTTGGTCTTGGACCTTCAAACATATCTTTGGCAACCCAATTGGGGTCAAAATTCTCTTATTGCATTGGTAGCATGAAGGATCCTAAGTACCCTCATAACCAACTAATCTTAGGTGATGGTGCAAAGATAGAAGGCCTTTCAACTCCACTTGAAGTCTACAATGACCTCTACTATTTGACCTTAGAGGGCATCAGCCTCTCCGAAAGGCGGCTCGAAATCGATCCAGAAATTTTCAAAAGAACACCGTCAGGCACTGGTGGAACAGTAATCGATTCTGGGACAACATTAAGCTTCCTAGCCAAAGGTGCATATGATGTGCTTAGTGCTGAAGTGCAAAAGTTGATGGATGGAAAGTTGGAAAAAGTAGAAGAGCCTGATATTCCTTCAGCTTTATGCTACAAGGGAATTATAAGCCAAGACCTTGTTGGGTTTCCAGATGTTGTCTTGAACTTTGCAGATGGGGCTGAGTTGGGTTTGGACATTGAGAGCCTTTTCCAAGAGTATGGCCAGAATGAGTTTTGTATGGCTTTGCAAGAGTCTCCTGTTGGCAATGACTTGAATGTTGTTGGAATTATGGCTCAGCAATTTTATAATGTTGCCTATGATCTTGCTGCAAACAAGGTTTATTTTCAGAGGATTGATTGTGAACTTCTTGATGACTGATGGACATCCATAATATAGGGATTTCAATATATTATAAGGCCTTTTTTATATCAATTTTTCTTCTTCTTATATTTATTTACTTTTGGTGGGTTTTAAATATGGGATATAATTATTGAAGAATAAAAGAAGATGAAACAAAACTGTCTTTCTTGCTCCCATATTGGCCATTAGATGAAGGTAGATTCTAGTTGTCATTCACTTTAGACTCATTTGTAATTAAGAAAAAGAAAATAAAAACCATGTTTAGACTCAGGTTCGAACCCATGACATCCCCATGACATCTTGGACGTGTGTGTGTGAGAAACTCCTCCTCTTATAGTTTAGATTATCGTTTGTATTCAAAATAAAGGTTCTATGAACTACCAAGGAAAAACCATGTATGTTATAACTCATGTTATTATTATCATTTTTGTTTATTTACAATTTTTAAAAAAAATCTCCTCAGCATTTTTCTATGCCAAAAATTCAAGGATTTTTAAAGGGTACTGATTTTCCCACTCCCTTTTTATCCACTTACACTCCATTTTTCTAAACAAAAAGGAGTGTAAGTAGATAAAAGGGGAGTGAGAGCCTTTTTAAAAAGCCGCCTTTCATTGAATCAAATTTCTTCAAGTTCACTTATTAGAATACCATTGTCTTTTTCCATTTCAAAAATTGCCTCTTAAGAGATGGGCATCAAAATTCCTAGTAAGTGCATTCATCAAGAAAATCAAAATTGGGAAATAAGCTTTAAGAGTGTAAGTTGTAATTTAAAGCATGCTTTCCTATATTTCGCAAGTCTTACATTGCAATTCAGTTTCTTATTTTTCTGATAATTGTTGACGCTACCGCCACTCACATTGTTGCCCAAAAACACCTAACTGGTACCCATACTCATTCACCACTCACATCTTGCATCCAAATTCCACACTACAATCGAAATTACAACTAACTACGAGAGATGGTGCTCAAAGTGACATGAAAAGGTTGCTTGGACGCTTTGGTTAACTTAGAACCGACTACTGCGAGCGATGATGCTTCGAACATTTCTATCAACAGACATTGATACTGAAATATTCGTCGATATTTCCAAAGATATCAATATTTACGTGCATCACAGGACTATTCTAATTAAAATCGGGTCATGTACGACGGACTAGACTCATTCAATTGGACAACAGTACAATATATATTAGAATAAACAAGCCCCATCCTCAGGGGTGGAGTGGAACTCTATGATACAGGACTCGAGTCCTCACCAGACATGCCCCCACCAAGGTCCTGAACATATACCATTCATTCTTGTAAGTTGTAACTAGGTCAAGCATTGTGGTTTTGGTTTGATCAGACAACTCATCTTTGAAACATCTAATGAAGGCATGAAACCAAAACCAGAAGGAAATCGAGCAGAATCCTTGGATTTGGAATACGACCACGACCCACATTGTTGGCTACACAACTTAATTGGCAATTGGCAGCATAAGTGATGCTCTCAACAAGTACAACCAATTGATATTGGGAAATGAGGCAGACCTTATACAGGCAACTCAACGCCTTTTGAAACAGCTGACAGTGGCTTTTACTACATGCATATTCCTAGTGTGCACAAGTATTGGAGACAATTCTTTATATCCGCACACCAGGACGCATCACCGAGAAGGGCAGTGAGTCTTCAACCCCAGATCGACATACTGAGTCGACTCATAATTACGCATGGACCATGTTCACACCCCATAGTCAAGGCCAGTGTTGAGCAAATATTTTACACTAGTACATCGGCCAACCAAATTCTCTACAGTATTGTGCTGCCAGCACCAAAGTACCAAAACTGAACAGTTTATGAAGACTCTTTTCAACAGATTAGGGCATTCTGCATTTCTATACTAGCTGTAAACTTTTAATACCAAATCCAATCGCAAGCATAACCTTAGGGAAGCTATGTAACTCCTACCTGCTCTAATAATCCTAGAGAAAACACAGATATAAAAACTTGCTTGTTCCTTTAACATGGTAATCAAACCCTGTGGTTCCAGTTCATGCTGCAAAAAGAAATGGCATGCATAAGGATTGCCATCAGAGTTGGAAACAGGACAAGGAATTCTACATGAAAATGGTAAAGATAAAAAAGCATCTTACCTGGCTTAGATGCTTAAAGAAGACACATCTAACTGGTTGCACAGACCATTTATGAGTCCCAACAAGTAGCTATAAGCCTCTATCCTGTAGTTAACAACCATCATCAGAAAACACTAACTCTACCAGCCACTGCTTGCTATTGGCTGGTTCAAGAAACACATGAGTGCAAATAAGACAAGCTTCTGTGGCACCCTTTGCTAAAGGCGCAGTATAGCTTCACCCTATAAAATTAAATACTAGAAGGAAAACAAAAAACCCAAAATACCAACATTCACCAATAGAAAAATCTTTCAGCAACAAAAATTGGAAGTGAGCACTGAAAATAACTTGACACCAAGCATGCTTCTAGGGATATGAAAACCATAATACGACCATGGGCACATACTTTCCAGAGAAAAAACTGCATTGCAAAAAGGAGCAGTTATTAGACATATAAGCATGACTTCCGCTGGCTAAGCAAAAGGAACTGATCTACTTCCCATTGTCCTTAAGAGACACTCGCCGAGGCACCCAATCTGTAGTAGATATGACACTTACCATCAGTTTAAAGGCAACAATTATATGTTCAAGAAAAATCATCCTATTAATACACAACCAACATATAATCTCCCATATAACATCAAAGAAAGTAGAAGAGCAAAAGTCCCACATGATATATTGAATATTCTCATGGTAACACGAAAATTCCAGCAAGAACCTTAATCAGCCTGGTCAAATAATCTGCTCATCTCTTTCTTCCACCACGCTCTCTTAATGAAAGACTAAGTGCTTCTCCTGCTCCAACATTATAATATGCAAGCGACATATTGTCCTTGAGAAAACCAGGTTTTCCACTCAATTTCTGTTTGTTTGCAGGAAGCTGGATCTCCCCAGAAATTTTTTCTTTCAGACTCCCAACAGTTTCAGATAAGGACTGCACCGTAATCTCCAAAAGTTGTCCCTTCAGATTACCTTCATCAACATTGGGGACAGATACTGTGATGCGAACAGGTCCCTGCAACCAAAAAGAAAATAAATAAAAACGAATAATTTCTGCCAGGCTACCAACAATAATTATACAATAAGATTTCAATTACTAAAGAATTTACAGTGGAAAGACAAGGATATGCAGGGAATCCATACCGGATGCTGTGCCAGAAACTGATCTTCTGAAATAAGCATAGAATCATCAAGCTTCTGCCGCTTTGGCTCAGGTTCTTCTGGAAGCGGTGGAGGAGCTTCCTCAGGTGGTGGTGGCGGGGGCATCCCCTGAGGCAAAGGTGGTGGTGGCATCATTTGCATTGTAGGTGGAGGAACAGGAAGAGGCATATAAGGTCGGGGAACTTGCATGGGTGTAAACTGCGAACCAGGTGGAGGTGGTACAGATGGATTCATAGACATTGATGGTGGCATCGGAGGTGGCCGATTCACCAAAAGGGATTGCTGTCCCGAACTCATGGGCATTGGAGGTCCAGGAGGTCGAACTGATTGATATTGGACAACTGATGGCCTCAGTGGAGGTACAGGGAGGCCACCGCTAGATGGAGCAGAATACTGGGCTGTATTTGGAGGAACACGAGGTAGATTCAAGGCAAGACCTGGTGGTGGGGGTAGAGGGCGAACAGACGGCACACCAGGTCTTGGAGGAGGAGCTGCAGGACCAGGAAGGTTCCTTGCATCATTGTTAAGAACATCATTCTGATCCTCTCCGTTGATATTCTGTGACATGGCTTGATTTGCTGTGCGGCCAATGCTTCCAGTGTGACCATCCCATATGACCTGCTTTGGTTGCTCATCTTTCTTTTTTTCAATCTCAGCCTTGACAGCGTTAGAAACTTCTTCCTCTGTGGTACCAAAAATATCAGGACGGGTTCGTGCAAGGCCCACAATGTTTCTTGAGATTTCGTCATCCTGAGCGAGAGTAGTCTCCCGAATCTTGGCAAACATCCTTTCTTTTTGCTCTTTGTATTTTGGATCAATGAGAGAAATCCTCATGTGTTCAGACATCTCATTGATAGGGATAAGCTCTCCAGTGATTGGTGAAATGACATACTTTGTTGGGTCTCTTTCAGCAGGGATCCTGTCTTCAGGTCTCTTCCAGTTCTTCACAATTCTCATTGGTGGTTCTGGATCATCTGTCACCTTATTCTCATTCTTCTTTTCATCACCATTCTCTTCAATTCTGGCTGTCCTCAAGCCCTCTTCAACAAGCTGCATCTCTTCTACATCCATTTCCATTTCCACCTCCTTACCAGGCTCAACAATATCTTCTTCCATATCTGTGACCTTGCTTCTCCTTATAACCTCCTCAAGGGTCATTGGAGGAGGTAAATCCTCATCCTCATCATCTGCAAAGTCTATTGATTCAACCACAACAAAATCATGCCAATCAATCATAGCCATTTGCATCCTTTCCAGCTCAATCTCATCTTCTTCCTTCTGCCTTGCCTGCTCTTGTGAACGCTCCCACTCCAGCCGGTGCACACACCGTTCAAGCACAGTTGTCATGTCTGCAATACTTTTCTTAAGCTTCTCTGTCAACCCCGTTGGAGGCATCAACACCTTTGAGTAAGCATCAGCCAGAGAAGTGAAAAGTGTAAACATACTATGGTTAGGTTTTAAAAAATGGAACTGGGGGTTATTCGTTTCCCTGTTTGTCAATCCTAACAAAAATGATTTCCCATTTCGAGCTACAAACTGGGCTGTGAGCTTTATAATATCCAACTCTTCCCCAGTAATCCCTTCAGGAAGCCGAACAGTATACTGCTCAGCTTCTGGTTTTTCTGGTGGTTCAGGAACTTTGCGCACCGATTTAAACTGAGCAGAGGGATCCAGCTTTGGTGCTCCTGTTTCACCATCTGTAGCTGGAGCTGGTGGGGCTGACTCAGGTGTTGCAGAATCTTCAGGCTGCGAAGAAGGTTGCTGTCCAGAAGACTGATTCTGGGCACGGAATTCAGACAATCGATGCTGATAATATGCATGGTAGGGATCTGAGGAAATCAAAAAGCTGAACTTTGCATTTCCGGTATTATTAGCTATGATCCTTTTCTCAAACTCCGGTCCGTTCTTTGCCACGAATTGGGAAGTTTTGTCAACAATATTTCTGATGTCTTGAGGAGGATAAATGATACCAATAGCCCTAGTATGTGTTGCAACGGAGTTGGCTTTGGTCTGCTCCTCATTCAATTGTTTCTCATCGTTAATAGGTTCAGTCACTTGGGATTCTGGAAGAGGCCCAAGGTCTCCATCAGAAGGAGGAGCCGGTAAGGGCAAAATGGAACCTATCATTTTCCTTTTAGAAAAACAGACACTTACGTAACAATTCGCAAACTATAGGGAATTAAAAAACAGCTTTTTGCTCATCCACAACCTGCACATATACAAATACATAAGACAACTTATAAAAGTATTGAGCTACTGTTAAGTAGAGAAAAATCAATTCAGGCCGACCAGCAACAATTTCAAAGATGAATGTGATAAAGACGAGAACACTAACAGTCCTACTGAAAGCAAGTCAGTCAAATTGATCAACACGACTCCAAAAAACCAGCTTTCCAGCATTCTAAGGACATAATTTCACCACAAGCTCTACCTCTACATGGAAATATATACAAATCTTCGATTTTCTAGAAAAAAAACAGACGGAAAAGTCAATACTTTTTTTCTGAATCTAAAAATTATAGTACCAATTGAAAGAGAACCTCAAACCCAGATAGAATCCAAACACCAGAAACGAAAATTAAATAATAACTGCATCTTTCAAAACAAAACAAACATTAGTACAAAAGCCTAGTTCAAGAGATATTCGCATGATAACTAAAGGTGAGAATCGAGATCCTCGTAGTTTTAAGAGTAACGAAATATTAGGGTTTAACGCAGAGAGAGAGAGATAGAGAGAGAGTACCTTAGGGCTGTAATTAGATGATTGCACTTCTTCTAGGGTTTCAAAGTCCCCCCCACTGCTGAGAGAGAAAAGGAGAGAGATTGTGTGATGTATTTATTTAACTAACATACATTACATACACCGTCACGACCCCAATTTTCTGAAAAAAAATACCTCCTCTGAATTCCTAATTTGCCCTTCTTTTGTAGAGCGAAATTTAAGGGGGGGTTTTTTGTTGCTAAAAGAGTATGTAATTTTTTATTTATTTTAAATTTCTCTCTTCTTTTTTTAAAATGAAATTTTTATTTATTATTATAGTTTCCCCTTCATTCAGAAAAAATAATAATAATAAACGCCAACATGGAGTAAAAAAGGCTTTTGACTTGTAGTTTAGACTATTGCTTGTATTATAAAAAAATTAAACAATTTTCATCCATAAGATTTAATTTACTAATCTCCAACAATAAAATGAGACTAATATGTGAGTGATAAATTTGGTTCCACAATGTTTGTGTATTAACTAGAGTAGGAGTATGATTTGCAAATAAGTCTAAATGATTTTAACTAACTTTAAGGTCATCTCCAGTCATGAGGGCTAAATGTAGCACTAGGCTACAATTTAGCTCTCCAAAATATTAATTTAAAAAAAAATAATGTAAGTCTAAATTTTTCTATCTCGAGTCATGTATAGCTATGCGTGAACTAATCATGTGATCACGCCCACGCATGATTCTTCCTCTTATTAGGCAACACATGCGTTGGGCCCACAAAAAAAATTTGGCCTAGGCTACAGTTTGGCTATATGTGGCTTGATAGAAGGACCAAAGGAATAAATGTTGCCCTCAAAATTTAGCCCATGACTGGGGATGAGTTTTACACATTTTGGGGCTTACATTTGACTTATAGTCCATAGCTGAAGATAACCTAATACATCTAGGAGTTGTAGCTTAAGTGGATATGAGTATTTACTAATGAACTCGAGGTTAGTGTTCAATTCCTTATCCCTAAGAGCACCTCCAGCGCTGCTGGTTTGCCCGAGCAGGAGGGGGCCTAGGCCCAGCTTTTGGCTCCAGCGCACAAAGGCAAGACCAGGCAGTTGATGGGGGCCACAAGCCTTGTCTTGCCTTGTCTTGCCTTATCTTTGCCTTGCCTTCCCCTTTGGGGTGGAAGTGCTCTAATATGACTTATATAAATTAAAAAACTAATTTAACAAGAATAATTGTATATTTCAGTTTAAAATTTTTGCTTATAGTTTTTTAACGAAACAACAAAAGAAGGATTCGCACATATCCAAGTGAGTCTGGTTGTAAATATGGTGGATACTTCAAATCAAGTTAGTCATTAGAGTTTCTTTCACCTTTTTTTTTTTAAAGGAAAAAAAAGAGTTAGTGATGAGGTTAAATTGTTTGTTTAGACTACTAAAATTCATAAATGTCAAGATTTAAATAAGAAGAAAATAAAAAACAAATTGATTTCAAATGACTCATTGCATATAGTCATTTTAATTGTATTACATCTACCTAGTTATGTGAATAAAATTTCCCTCGAGTTTACAACTTGTTCTATGCCGATAAAAAAAAAAAAAGAAGTTAGTAACAAACAGGGCAAAATTGTAATTCTGCGTTTTTACGTGTTCCAAATTCCCTTTATACACCCCCTATCATCATCTTAAAAGTCCAAGCGCCAAGTGCCAGTGATGATAAGGTTCTAAAGGAAAACATGTCCAGCATTTCTTCCTTCGGTATTTGTTGAGAGAGCAAACGAGAGATGGCAGAAGTTGGTCATTTGGTATCAGCAAGACTTATTAAGCTTCCCACTGTAAAGCCAGCAAACCCCAAACCCTCTAAATTGGTGTCTCATTCATTCAAAATCAGAGCTGCTTCAAAAAGAAACTCTTTCTCTCTGGTAATATGACCAACAAATATATGTAATTCTGAAACTCCATTCTTTTCCTTCTTCTTGGTATTTTTCTGTGATTTCTTTCATGATTTTCTTGCCTACAATATTATCTACAACTTCATCTCCTTTTGTGTACATGTCTTGGCCACGTAATGCACATGATATTTTTCTACTTGGGCCCACAAATTAATGCAGAACAACAAAAAGAACAGCAGGAGTCTGATCAAAATATCAACAGCAGATGGGAGATGGCATGGGAATTGGTGCTGTGATTACCTTCTCTCCCTCCATGACCTGCGTTTGGAAGATTTGATTGAAGATGAAAATGAAAAGGATGCACAAGTTTCAGTTAATCTCTGCGTCCAGAAGGTCACTCCTATTTTATATGACCTATTAGTTGATTACTTCTAGTTACAACTTCCTCAGATCACATTATTTCATCATTATAGAAGTTTGAGTATTTGTTTTTTTTAATGAAATAAGTTTTAAGTTAATGTCATCAAGAATCTTCAGATTTGTATCGCTAAATAGTTAATTTATAACGTATCGTACCATGTTCTAAGTCGTTTGATGCGGTTGATTAATAGGGTAACGATTTAGAGCATGTAAGTACATTAGGGATTTTTTTCCCTCTCTTTTTGGCTGTCATGTATACGGATCGTTATATAAGCGAAACCAAACTCTAAAACAAACTGAATTTCCTAAACGCAGTTGAGTTTCTTTGTGCAGATTATGGTAGTAAGGAAGATAAAAGTGGTATTAATTAGCAGAGATTAATGTTAGGTGTATACACTCAACAACCCTAATTTTCCCTCGTGATAATTACCAGCATGCTAGCTTTGGCTTCTCTGTTGATGGAAAGATCATGACATCATTCACCAGAAAATGTAGCAACTGCTCTTCTCCATACTGCAGAAAGGTACTTTGTCTTTGCAGAAGTTTGAAACTTTGATGCTTTATCCAATCATAAATTCAATCCAGCTGATTTTATACATGGGCATTGTAACAGATCAACACACAATTTAATGTATGGGTTCTGTCATCAAGCAGAGACGAGCACACAATTCAACTGCCTGAGATCGGTGGTGACGATCCATCATTAAGTCTCTAAACTCTCTCCCTCTTGCTCTCTGTCACTCCCCAAGATAGTGCCTTAACACAGCTGCTTCAACAGGTAATCTATGTGAAGCCTGGAAATGAAGCTGAACTCGATTCGCTGATACAGGACACGATACGGCTTGCCACCTCCATAAAAGTAAGAACTACTAATGCAATACTTTTGAATGTAAAACCAACATGATGCAATACTTTTTCCTGCACTAAATGATCGACGAATGAATGCGGAAAATTTCACTTTGCAGGATACTTGTTCAGAGCTGTGTGAGAAATCTTACCCAACTGTAGAGTGTAAGTTTTCTGTGACAACTTCAGAACTAGAAGATTAGAAATTAATTTAAGCAAGGCCAATTCCTAATACAATTCCGATTTGCAGACATTGGTGGACAAAGCACTGCTTCTATTGATAAGAGGTGGTCTAGACTCTTGGAGCTAAGGGATTTGCAATAATATGCACAAAGTTGGAAACTAAGCCTTCATAAAATGGGAGGAATTGTTCTATCTACATCTATGGTGTGTTTATATCAGTGTAAATAGTATTTTGTAAAGACAATAAAGAGTTTTATGTCAATGAAATACATTGTTGCTAGTTTCAGTAATGCCTTTTCATTTTTCTGCAATTAAAGGAAAAGAGTGTAAAGGTTATGCTCTCATTTGAAGTAGAGAAGCCGAGTTCAAAATGAAGAATACAATGTGAAGTATGTTTCATACTTCCTCATTTGAAGGCTGCCAAAGGACGATTTGAGTCTTGATTTGTCAAGATTAACTTTGTTTGGGTCAACGTAAGAGCTTATGAGAGCATCTATTGTTGTTAATGGTCATTTTCTCTTGGAATGTGTATAATGAGCAATGGGGAGAATGGAGAGTAGGGGTGACAATTTTAAACACGGCATCGTTACATGATTCAATGATGACATAAAACAATCGTATTTGTGTTGAGTAAAATCGTATGAAATGTCATCTTACGATAAACATCGTAAAAATCCTATCATTTTCTTTGAGAAAATTTAATTCAATTTGAGGATTAATAATCATGTTGTATAATTGTGGATCGAATTAGTGTAATACATAACATGACACTAGAAACCAAAATGCCATCATAAATTGAGTATTGAGAGGAATTATTTGAATTTCCCTAATTAATTATTATTTTTCTTCAATTTTTTATTATTTATTTTATCAATTGGGTAAAATTCAGCTTTGATCAAATCTGTGATAAATTAGAGGCCTTTCCCAACTTCCAGCTCCCAATCTCTAGCCAATCTCCCGCCATCTCATTACCTACGACAGACAAGAACTGAGAAAATCAGAAATGGGGACGACGACGCTGGCGCCGGGACTGTCCCGGAAGCTGAAGAAGGTACTGGAATGTCGCACAGACACTCCCGATGTGCTCGCCTCACTCAACACCCTCTCTTCTTTCTATTCCGAAAATACCCCTCAATCGCGGCGCAATCTCCGATCCACCATCGAGAAGCGAGGCCTCTCCATCAACCTCGAGTTCCTGGAGGCCTCCCAGGCGGCCCAAGAGGCCTTGGATCGCGTGGAGGACGAGGTCGGTGCCCTGGCCAGTAGCTGCGACAAGATCGCCGTGGCTCTCAGCAGCTGCACTGCTACCACCGGTGACATTATCGCCACCACCGAAAGGCTGAAGCAGGAGCTCAACGTGACCACCCAGAGGCAGCAGATCGTGTCTTGCTTCCTCCGGGATTACCAGCTCTCGAATCAAGAGGTACCCATCAAGCGATATTTGTGGATAATTGATCTGTGTTGAGATTTACATCAATTTTATTTGTTTGTTTATGTGAGTTTTTGTAGATAAGTGCATTGAGGGATGAAGAACTGAATGAGAACTTCTTCAAGGCGCTTTCTCATGTTCAAGAAATTCATGCCAACTGTAAATTGCTCTTGAGAACACATCACCAGGTACTCTCTACTCTCTCTCTCTCTCATCTGAATTTTTTCTGAATCAAGGAAACTTAAAAGGTGATAGTATACTAACAACCCAATTTACCATTCACTTGCAGCGTGCAGGTCTCGAGCTCATGGATATTATGGCTGTCTACCAAGAAGGAGCCTACGAGCGCCTCTGCAGGTTTTTCTCTTCTACCATCTTCCTCAATTTGCATATGTATAAGGAAATTTTTTCTTGTCAAACAGCTTGACAAGTCATTGTTGGCAAAGTGTCAACATTTACCATTTATTAGGTGAATTCTTGTTTATATGTGTGACCCAGATTTACAGACTGACAATATAATATGCTTTGATCTGGCAAGAGATCATTACCACTATGTATAGTGGTTGTTTCAATTTTTTGGCACTAGTATTCTACTAGGATAAATAAATTATGATATATTGGGTCTTTAATTGACCCCGTCTTCTAGGTGGGTTCAGGCAGAATGTAGAAGACTTGGCGACTCTGATAATCCTGAAGTTAGTGATCTTTTGAAAACAGCAGTTCGTTGCCTCAAGGAAAGGCCTGTCCTTTTCAAGTATTGTGCAGAAGAGGTGATTCTCTATGCTAACCATTTCACCTGTTTCACTTTCTACTACCTTGTTTATTGATTTTCTGACAAATTTCTAGGTAGCAAATATGAGGCATAATGCATTGTTTAGGCGGTTCATCAGTGCTCTTACACGTGGAGGACCTGGTGGAATGCCTCGACCCATTGAAGTTCATGCTCATGATCCCTTACGATACGTTGGGGACATGCTAGGTTGGTTACATCAGGTGTGAAAACAAAGGCCTATTGGTTGCATTCCACTTCCATTTGTGAAGTATAATTCATCATCTGGCAATCGTAATTTCTTGCTCCCTTTGCAGGCCTTGGCATCTGAACGGGAACTTGTCTTTCTATTACTGGATCCAGATGCGGCGGTAGATACTGGTCCAGCCACAAACCAATTCTCCATGAGCCCTGAAAGTGATTCTCGAAAGACAGAATCTGATTTGACATTTGTTATGGATAGAATTTTCGAAGGAGTTTGCCGGCCATTTAAAGTAAGAGTTGAACAAGTTTTGCAGTCTCAATCGAGTCTCATAATTTCATACAAACTAAGTAATACCCTGGAGTTCTACAGCCACACTGTAAGTGATGCCTTTCCTTATTCATCAATGGAACAAATTGTCCCACATGTTATTTGCTTTTCTTTTTTCTTTCCCCTGATCTATGGCTGTGTTTACTTGCAGATATCAGATTTTCTTGGGAGAGAAACAGCTTTATCTGATACATTGTGGACACTGAAGGATGCTGCTCAGAAAACGTTCTTTGACATTCTGAAAACCCGAGGGGAAAAGCTTTTGAGGTATCCTCCCCTTGTTGCTGTTGATCTTGCCCCTCCACCAGCAGTAAGGGAAGGAGTCTCTCTGCTGCTTGAAATAGTGGAGACGCATAACAGCATGATGCTTCCTACTTTAGGAAAAAATCCTGCGTTTGGTCCAGTTATATCTGCTTTACTCGATCCAATTATTAAGGTGTGTTGTGCTGGGCATTTGGTTATGTAAATGGCATGCTTTGTAAGCTTGCTTCTAGTTTCATGATGGTCAAAACAACATTGAAATTAGTTTTTAAGCATGATTGAAGTTTCAACACTACGTCATATTCCCATTAATTAAGGACAAACTACAAAGAACTTCACTTTGAGTGCTGTTGCTCCTATTGTTGTGAGTCCATATAATCCCACAACCAGATGCTCTCTATATTAGTAGCAATTTAAGTTAAACTTGTTGCAGAGTCAGACTGTGAAGTCATATCTGGAAACATCATACTGAGGACATTATTTCATTGTACCTCTTCCAGAATTCATGTTAGAGATTTAATGGGACTTAAAACTGTGTTGATGCATTCCATATAAAAAATAACATTTAACTTCAGTTTGAGAACAGAGATAGTCTTCAGTTTATTTAAATGTTGAATAGATTCCATTACTTCAACCATTGCAGATATGTGAGCAAGCAGCTGAGGCACATAAGTCCAAGGGGGCTGGCCACTCTTCAAGAAGAAGTAGGTTGAGTTCTGACTTAGGTCAATTTAGTAAATCACCAGTTGACGCACTATTGTCCAACAGCAGTTCTGCCCCGTCATCTCAGGTTTTCTTTTCTCATTTATTTCCAAGCGTCTGATTTCAAAGTATCTTCACTCAATCAGAGGATATCGGGTCTATCTGTTGCATTTTGTTGTAATTCTCGTGGCTTGCTGTTTCATTTTGTTGTAATTCTCATCAACTCTAGCGCATAGAATTATTCCTGGTGCCAAATTATGACAAATGTCAAATGTCAAGCTAGTTTCAAAGATTTTGTGACCCACTTTAATATTCTGGCCAGTTCCCTTATTCTGTAGTTGTGTAACTGAGTTTAAGGCTTATTAAAACTAAAATGTTTGAGCTTATCATCCTGCCTTACTATTCTTAAAAAACTTATCAAAAGAGGAAAAAGAAAACTAGAGTTTGTAAGTCTGATTCTACAGGTATTATTATGACTTTCCACAGGATTTGGTATGCAGAAAAACAAGTTCTCAGTACTAGAACCCTATGTCTGGAAATATAAGCGTATCAAAAACCAGCTATGACAAGGGAAATTGGTGTGATTTTTGAAAATAAATTTAATGGTAGTCTTTACGTTTTCCCTTTCACTAGTAGTATGGGGAAGAAGTGGACTCTAGAAGTACTGCTAATTGAGTTTAGGAACTAAACTGTATCAATTTTTTTTTAAGGCCCCTGTATTTAATGATTAATAACTTTGATCTTGTAATTCTCATGCATAGTCTTCTTCATTGCTTTCGTACTAATGCCTTTTTAATGGATTGGTGCAGTCTAGTGGAACATCCTCTAAGATTTTCCTCATCAATTGCTTGTGTGCCATCCAACAACCATTGTCTGGGCATGAGGTTGCAGCGGAATACGTGAAGAACCTCGGGATGATGATAGATAGACACATGCAAGCACTTGTAGAAAATGAAGTTGATGCCATCCTTAGAAGATGCGGCTTGTCACAGAAAATTCCTTACTTCCGCAACTCTCTCAACAAGGAGACTGGCAATACCCCATTGGTAGAGATAGAGGACACTTCTCCAGCCTCTCTCTCTGAGTGTTTGAAGACTTTCTTTGGGCTTGTTTTGGGAAGTGAGAGTTCCCTGCCTGAATTTGAGCAGATGCAGGTTCCAAAGTTGCGTTCTGAAGCGTGTATCCAAGTGGCTAGATCGTTGGCCGAAGCATATGATCTTACATACCAGGCGATTATGGATCCCAAGAATGGCTACTCAGATCCTAAGTCACTGGCAAGGCATCCTCCAGACCAGATAAGGACCATTTTAGGAATATAAAGCACTAATTTCTTCTTCTTCTTCTTCCCTCTTGCCTCCCATGTGTCTTAATCTTATAGATTTGCTTATTCTTTTTTGAACAGATTGTCAAACTCTTATTTCCAACAAATTAGTTTATTAATTGACTATTTGATTTTCTAAATGTTAATATTCGTTAGCAAAAAGAAGGAACAGGTAAACGAGTTGTTCATTTGTGGTTTTCTTTGGTGAACGATGGATAACGCGCGGTACTCATTCATTACATTATGTGTGATATACTAGTGGAATACTTTAT